ATGACGGAGAGACACGGTTGACTAGTTGTTAACACCAATCAAAAACCTCGCATCAAATCAGATCCTTCACACCCGTACAGAGTAGACATGTTCAAGTGAATCACCTATGCGAGAATTAATTCACATTCAACTCACAGTTACTTGCGAGTAGTGGCGTGGGACAACTAATATTGAATTGACAAACAAATCATCGTTCACATCCGCTGGAGCACAATCCTTCCTCCAGCCAAATCAACATCACTTCTTATTCCATGCCAACAATCAAAAGTAATACATGTGAGTTAAAATGGGGTCGTATACCATGATTGGTGGTTCATGTAGTGCTATCGGAATTCAGCTGCGGAAAAAAACGAAGTCCAATCGTTACATCTCCATATACATTCTTCTGTGCTCGAGCAGTTAGGGTAGACAGCCTGCGAAACCAGTTCACTTGATTCTGTGTGTGCTTTATTCGGACAGTAAACCTGGGATCAGACAAACTCACTCGGACTAGAAATAGCAGACCGATATACTGTAGGACGGGTTTCAGTTGCAGAACCCCAAACATCACACGATAGGTTTCAATCAACGACAAATCGCGTTCCGGTTCATCCGCTGACGCATAATCCCGGGTGATCTCGGTCACATGCGGTAAGTCCGTGATGCAGTTGATCTGTTGATCCATGTTCACGTGGTTCGTGGATGAGGAAGAGGAGGCGGACCGAATTACACGTAACTGATGTGCCCCGTCCGCAATATCGTCCTCGGATTCAAGCAAAGTCATTTCCGACGGTTGTTCATCGCCCACAAAATCTTTGACCGCCCGAGTCGGTGTGGAATAGAATTTGTCACAAACGGAACCGTTGGACTGGCATCGCCGGAACAGTCGGCGGATACGTCTCAAGCACTGTGTGAACGGTAATTGGACAGTTGCACCAGTTTCGTGTTTCACCAGAGCAACAATGGTAGTGACAACCATGAAGGTTACACCCCAGAAATAGAGAAAACCTGTCAAAGAATAAACCTAGAAATCAATGAGATGAATACAACAACCAGTGTAAAATGAACACTATGACTAGGCAAGAAGAATCCACTAAGTGGTACAGTTGCAGATAGAACAGTTCGAACACCGTTACGGTATATATTTTATATTTTACAATAA